AAATCCTGATCAGAGGTTAATCTGTCGAGAGAGATATAACTCTCAGATGCTGATATTTAATATGTCAATTAGGAGCGATTGGGCACTTATTTCGACTCGTCTCTTGAATTATGTTAACATTCCGGTCTATACTGCCCCTACGTTGGCAAGTGAGAGGATGTTAAGTTGAGATAACTAATTTCGGGTAATGGCTTTCTAAGATTCAGGCATAGTCGTCTATATAACTATAGTATTTGCCTCTATCAAACTTCATTGAAAAGAACTGTGTGACACTCTCTGAGAGAGAGATGAAGTACCTATCTGTGTTGTCATGAAATGCACTCGCTTTGCAATCTGTCAAGCAAGAATCCCACTATATAATTCATCTCCAGCAAACAAATGCTTGCGTCCGTTTTAGATATGCTAAAATTCTCTGATACAGTTAGTTATTGGAGCTATAAATTAGCTATTAAATGCATTTGCTCTCGCATCCTCAATGTACACTGCTCACGATTTCTTATGTAGTCATGTATGTCTTCACTTCAACTGCTAGCAAGGCGGAGACGAGGCTGCTCTTCGCACGACCACTGATCTCCAGATTCAGCTAGTCCCGGACACTATGCCGCTGGGACTCACACGCACCTCAAAGAAGCCTGTATCAAAAGACTTTAGCATTGGCAAAAGAGACCATATGTATATTATATAAGCGAATATCACCGTATCTAGCTTGTGAGAGACTCAGATGAAATAAGGTGACACGATACACAGTATGGAGCACTGAGCACAGAGAGAGAGAGTAGCGCAGAATGCCACGAGCAAGACGCGCAGCACAGCAATGAGTGGAAGAAAGGAGCAGAGACGGGATTAGAATAGGAGCACTTACGTGCTGAACTGGCTGGAAAGACTAGCTACGAGGAATAAGAACTGAGACTGTACATAGACGGCGCTATTAACTTCCGGTCTAAAATATATGCTCTATTAAAAGCTATGACACACTCTGCTCGCATAATATAGTCTCTTTCATCGCGAGACAAGAAGTTCACTGTGGCAACACTGCCATAGACAAGATAATGAATTCGAAAGCAGGAGTGGCGTAAGCCAATTACAACGAGAGAGTTGCATACTGTCTCGATCATTTGAGATTACTCACGGATATATAAAACTCCAAGATGAGAGTTTTATTTACCGCATGTATTCTTTGGCCAGTCGGATACTGGTACAACGTCATATTGCGAGTTTTTACACGCTCATCAACAGCCTGGAGGCTACTATCTACGCGCAGTATAAGCTTAACGAGACGTGTGGAGGCTGAGATAGAAGGAGGCTCGAGACGATGTGAGATATGTGTGAGGGTGTAGACTGAGTAATAGGAGACCTCAGGTCTCGAGATGTTCTGCCTCCCTTCTCAGCGCATGAAAAGCGTGCACAAGTGGTTGCGCATCTCCTGCTGGCGGCCCGGCACCTGAGGGCTGAGAAAAGTGGTAAGCTCTGGCGTAGGCACTACGAGAATCGAACGTATGTGGCCGTCTCGCACGCACCTGACGCGTACTGTTATGGAACTCGGAAAAACGAGCAGTGAGCGGCACACACCCGCCGGTCCTTGCCGGGAGCGCAGTTCGGGATTTTCTTGAGAGAGCAGTCGAGCTCGCTACCGCCGCTGCTGCGCCAGTTTGTCAACACTCAAACATTCGGAAAGTTTCCTTTTGTCAGAAAATGTGGTCAAGACCATGGGGAGCGCGTCTCCAGCTCCTCCCAATCCCCAAAACTGCAAGGTTTCCAAGAATGCCTTTACCATCCAGGTGGTTTCATAAGCCCATTTTCTATAACAAATAGTTAGCTCGCGCGAATGACGTTCAAGAGCGGTTGGCGCCTCGCCGCACGAGGGTGTAGAGACGGGTTCGAGCTGTAAGCAATGTCGTTGCCACGAAATGTCGTCTCGTGGTCTCGGTCGGCGTAATTCTGCGCACACGGAAAACGGTCAATGATCGCATGTACTCTTGTATTGCGGCCTCGCTTTTCTCTATCTGAGAGAGAGAGTGACGAGTATGATTTTAGATATTGGAGTAGCATAGCACATGTATGCAGCTCCAGGAACAATAACACACACACAGAACAAAAAGAATAAAGAACAAGATAATATATGAACATTTGTTCTGAATCACTCATGTTCACATATTATAGTCTACCGTACAACGCAGACATCGCTGTTGTATGTAAATAATAAGCATACTTTCAAATACTCTAGATTAGAGGCACGAGGGCACGAACCAACCGTGAATGCCTTCAAATTGGTTGGGATATCCCAAAATAGTTGTACGTGGTTGTAAGGCTGCTATTACTACCGATAAGCATCGATTATTGCGTATTAATTTAAAGGGCAATCCGAGTTTACGTATAACGCAAATACACCACAGTTAAGGGCCCCCGAAAGAAAAGGTTTAAGTAAGAACACCTGAATGTACATTTCCTAAATATTATAGGAAAAATCTTTTTAAAAAAAAAATTACAGGCGTAAAATTTACTTTCATTAATTAGTATTCTTCTTAATGTATTTCATCAACAATAATGTTATACGAATTCACATTAAATCTGTAAATTACCGTACAGACAAATCAATCACAAAAACAACGAGATGTCCCAATTACAACTGTAGGAAAAATCATTCAAATTACTTTCGATCGCTTAAGGGCTCATCAATCTACATCCGCTCTAAAGGGGGGTTAGGCGAGTCACGGCCCGGAAATCAGATCAACGGTAGTATGAGAGGTAATGCGAGACGAATACAGTATATATATATCACGCACTGAAATAGATGATCTCTCACGCGCGTCTCTCGTATCTCGTTTCAAACATAGGTAATGACCTCAAAAATATTATTCTTAGGAAAGGGGGCTCTATTGCCTCAGATAAACCCGAGCAACACAATTCATATTCGAACGCAGAAACCAAGATGTTCTAAAACCAGACCAATTGAATTAGACTAGTTTCCGGTACGCAACCTCACAATATTATATTAATGCAATGAGGACAATGACGTCCATTAATTTTAACTTTCAACGTCTGAAACGACGGGGAGTTCACCTTTGTAGGAAGGGAGTTAATTATGGAATTTTAAGGAGTTCTTACCAATAAAGCCCTCCACTCCAAAAACGTGCGTGATATTGACACGTTTGTGTGACGAGTCGCATTTCCGCGCGTCGAGTGCCGTCTAACGTAACGAGCCGAGTAACGGTAAACCATTCATTATTTTTTTCAGAGAAAGCGATATTATTAAAATTGCGTGAGAATTAATTCAAAGATGAAATTTTGACGTGATAATATAAGATGGGCTTATATACCACGCTTATGTCAGGCTTTATGGGTTGTATTTGAACTGCTCCACAGTACGTTACGGACAGAATAATCTAACATTGCAAGATTGGACCTCCGACGCGTTTTCGAAAAACGCCCTGTTCCGGGTAGCGCTGGCAGAAATAGCGATAAGAATAACGAGCAAACTTGGGGTAGCCGCTATGGGTAAGAAAGTGTCACATACTGGATCTTCATCGGCATAGCCAACAACTATGACGGAAATGTATTAAAAAGGATTATCATGCTGAGCTTCATGTCCAAAGAGCGTTTTGCGACGCCTGAAAGGAGGAAGGGCAACAAAATCAAGCTTTAATTGTCTAGATTTTCATACAAAAACGTTCACTCATTTTTTGTACCAAGTTGAGGGAACAGGACAAAGAAGGTATCGAATGGAAATCTCAAGCTGCATGGTAATATGATGCTTTCTTTGATAAATAAATCTGGCATCTTACGTTGAAAAAAGACAGAGGAAATACCTAGACGATGTAAGTGCATTAACCGGTCGCAGGCGGAAATTGAGAGGAAGGGTTTCCAAGTCATTTTTCATGACCACTACGAAAAAGCTCGTGAAGATGCAAGCGCCTAATTAAGCCAAAGGTCGAATATACTCTTTATAAACAAATGAAAAAATGCTGATACCAACAATACCACATTAATTTCTAGGCCTAGGCGGAGTAACACCTGTGAAGGTTGCGATTTGCTGTCGAATTCCCGTATTTAAACAAGGTTCACCACCAATCAGATCGCACGTTCCGCCGACGCGTCTAAATTACTTAGGCTAGTGTTGATTGTATTACTGTATTGCGCCTCTTTGTATAAAAGTGCTAAACAGCAAATTTACAGAACTGCGTTCTAAGCCTGTAAGGCTAAGGTGTCCAAATGAGCTTTGGCTATCTTTAAAGGCATTCTTGTAGGCATAATCAACAGCCTTGAACAACTAACTTCGTAATTGGCCGCCCATTGCAAGAAAAAATTCTATTATAGTGCTAACAAACTCTACGAACCCGATCCAAATGTAATGCCGAGCTTCGTACTCATTTCCTTGGGCAACGAATTCGGGCTAAACGGGGCGTGGAGGTCAGGTCCATTTTGATTTGGGGCCGCTTGCGCACATACACCGCATGCAAAGGCTTTTGCCCAGGCTGTCGGCGGCGGGAGACGGGCGGGTGCGCGGCCGCTGGGCGTCGCGCGCCGCCACCGCGCCGCCCGCCGCCCGCCCGCGCCGCCCGCCCCGGCGGCGAAAGAGCCCTGCGCCGCGGCGGGCGGCGGCCGCTGCTGCGGGGCGCCCGGGGGGGGCAAAGCGCGGCGTGCTGCAGCTGTATTGCGGGTGACGGCGCGGTGGCCGGCCCCGGACCCTGGGACCGGTGCCCCCCCGGAAGCTCGACAGTAGGCGCAAGGAGTGCTGGCGCCCGACGGGCTGGCGGCGGACTGCGGCGCGGGCTGTTTTGAGAACTGCTGGCGGCGCCGGGCGGTGCGGGAAGGCCGCGGACGGCGGGGCCTGCTGCGAGGGCGGGGGCCCGCCGCGCCCTGGCGCG